AAGAAGCCCGACCTCTCTTCACACGGTTCTCATGAGGTCATTTGCCACTTTTGCTGTGATACTTTAGCATTCACCCACCTTCCCTGTCCCTGTCTGCCCCTCTGATCCACCCCCAGAAGTCACACTTGAACCAGCAGCACCAGCTAGCACTTCTGGAACGATGCTGGATGGCCAAATGGAATACAGGACGGCAGCATCTTCCCTTCTGCCACAATACAGGCATGATTTGCAGTCTCTTCCTTCTGCTCAGTCTTCTTCAGAAAACATACAGAACTTTAGATCAGCAAGTCCTCTGAAAAATGACTCGGTCTGGCCGTAGGCCTAAGAGTTATAAGGAAGGAGGATGAGCAGTCATGTTTCTATAGGAAAAGATGCTACCAATTAAGCCTCTCCTGCATCTGGCTTCAGGCTTAACCTAAGATTCCATTTGCCTTTTCCAAGAGTATTTATACAGACAGACAATGCTCTTTATTAAAGTCCTCATAAATTCATAGGTGAGCACTGACACTGTTGGGAAACCTTCCTGGTTCCTCACACTTACTATCCTTGTCTGCGTGTCATTTAGTTTAGGGCATCTTCTAATCAGAAAAGCAGGATCTGTACACACATACACAGAAAAATCATTTAAATGTCAAAAATATCCAAAAATGGGTATTTCTTTGCTTGTGAAAGTTTTAGCACTCATCACTCCTGGTGATGAGACCCAGGTTGCGTTGGAAAGTCAGGCAAACAGTGGATGGAAAACCATCTGTGTTTTATTTCCCCATGCACAAACAATCAAATTTATGTGAATAAAGCCAGAACACAAAAGAAAAGGGTAACGTATCACCCAGCAAAAGCTGTTCTAAGCAGTGCTGTCCTGTTCTGCGCTGCCCACCAGCAGGATTCACCTAACACAGCTGTCTGGCATTGGTTGCAATGTACTGTGCATCCAGAATGAAAATATTGATTCCCCTGCATGCCCTTTATTAAACGATGTTTGGTTCGTAAAGGAAACTTTCTAAATATGGAATTAACTCCTGTGGCTGTTCTGTCCCCTCTGTGTCAGTAAGGACAGGACAAACTGGCAGACTGGGAAGCACAACAAATGCAGCAAAGGGTGAGGGATGAAACAACAGGCATTGCAAACGCTCTGCTTTGCTACCAGCCATTGAAGACTACCTGTTCCTTAACCTTAAGGCTCTGCTGATGCTTTCCCTTGTCTTTTCAGAAACCTATGAAGAAAAATGTCATTTATTCTCTTTCAGAACAGAATTATCCCATGTTGTTCGTCCACACGAGACATGAATTGGAAGTTTATTTGGAATACAAACCACCTCTTCTCCTGTTCCTGTGCATATCCACTTCTCCCTTGCTCTCAGCACAAGAGCACTGTTTCACAAACTCCAAGGAAGATGAGCTGCAGTATCAACGTAATAGCAAACAGAGGACTTGAAGACCTCTAAGTGAAATAAACAAATAAAAGAGTACCAACAAACTCATCCACCAACCTTCTTGGGATGCTTCACATAAGCATCTATGCGTATGTGGGGACACCATTTCTTTTTCACAGAGACAAAATCACCCCCCCCACGAGCATCAGAATCACCCACCACAAGGAGAGATCAGAAATGCATTTTTAGAACAGGTGCTCCACGCCAGCTAACAGAGCTGTCAGTGTGTCACTCTGCAGCAATGTAACAGCAGAAGTGCAGAGCATTCCTTTGGCAGCACGTCCCAACCTGCAGCTGAAATTCACCTTCTGCCTCTGTGCCTTCCAACGAGCTCCCATGACAGCTGCAAATTGCCTCCTCCCCGACACTTTCCTCTTCTTGTCCTCTCTTTGCCTTTTCCCTATCCACTCTATGGACACACAACACAGTCCACCTTATTTTGGAATAAATCAAGGGCTAACCTATGTTTAAATAAGACCCATGACTTTGCATCACTGAGAAAGAGAGTTGTTAAGGCAGCAGCTAAAAAAGCATTACAGATGGACTCCATTCCCTGGGATGGAACATCAGATTTCCTCCACTCACACAACACTGTGCAGTAACTGAAGCCATGAAAGCCATGCTGGTGGACAGCAAATAGGGAAACACTCTCTGCAGGTGAAACTGTGATGAGAGTGGATGCCCCATCCCTGCAGGCATCCAAGGCCAGGCTGGATGTGGCTCTGGGCAGCCTGGGCTGCTGGTTGGTGACCCTGCACACAGCAGGGGGTTGGAACCAGATGAGCATTGTGGGCCTTTCCAACCCAGGCCGTTCTATGAGAGACATCAGCACAGTGCTGTGACTGACAGTGACCTTCCACATATCCCTGCGTGCCAGAAGGTTAGCAAGAGCCAGTAGGAGTTACCCCCACACAGAGCCACACAAACAGATATATTTAGTCACTGCGGTTCAAGGAAAACCATTGCTTGCACTGAAAATAAATTTAGCAATTGTTTCCAGTTTCTGCTCTTTCATTGACTAAGGCACAACCCAGCTGCTGTGCATTCCAGCAGACTTCAGCTGTCCTTCTTCCCCACTCCTTGCCCACTTCCTTCTTACAACTGCCATGAATACCTCAGCCTCGCACCATTCCTCCTGCAGGCTGCATTTCTGCACACATCAGAGCTGATGCTGCGCAGCACAACACCTGTCCAACCTACACTGACTTACCCAAAAATGCAAAATTCCACTCTCTGTACCATTTCCTAAGAAGTACTGAATAGCAGTCATCTTGTACTTCATATCTGCATAGAACTAGATGGGACTGTTTACACTCACGAAACAAGCTGCAATAAAACACACGTGGGATGCTGCTGTCTGAGCAGCCTGCAGCAGGAATTGCAGCGTGAGGAAGGAAGGATTGGAACCACACTGCATTCAGGACTGTGCACTGACTCTTCAGGAGAGTTTCATTCTCAGACTCCAGGATAAAAACTCCATAGGGTGTTCTTACTTGGTTTGAAAACCACCACTACAGAAACCGCTTCTGTTGGCCAACTGCTGAAGTTCCAACTTGAAAGCCTTCACTTAGACTCAAAAATACAGCACAGCAGTGAGGGCACAACCAAACCAAGACAGAACTGTGTCTATTAACTCACCTGATCCTCAACTGAAATAACAAACACGGCAGAGAATTGAGTGGGTGTAGAAAAAACCCCACATATTCAGGATTATTTCTGGGCTAAGATTGACCCAAGAAATGGCTGCAGCCCAAAAAACACCCTTTGCAGAAATAAGATCCCAGTAAACCACACGTCAAGCATGATTCTGAGCAGTGTAAAACAGCATGCAAGGCTGCACATGAACAGCACAGGTCCCCTAAAGATGGGTAATGATCTGTCCCTGGGATTGTGCTACTTTCCTTAAGAACAGGATTCCTCCCTTGATGTTTATATTACAAACGCCGGATGAGACTTCAGAGGTGAATCTGCTTATCAAGCAAACACATATCAGAAAAAGGTGAAGACAACAGCATTCTGGTCTGCTGGGAATACCTCCAGTTGGGTCCTGAGCTGAACAGAGACAACTGACTGCACTCCAGGCAGCTGAATGCTTGGAACAGTGGTCTCAAACAGCCCTTAGCAGATGGCTATCGAAAGGGCAAGCTTACAAGGGATGTGAAAAGCCAGCAAGAAGTCACAAGATGATGATGGAAAGCACCAAGTAGAGGAAACGTTCAAGATACAGCATCCATATGTCTTTGGTTTTAATAAAGGGCATTAATGAACAGATACTCTGTGGAAAAGCCTGTATTTCAGACCTGACGGTGTCTCTCTGCTCTCCTATTCTCTCTGTACGACGCAGAATTGTTCAACTCCCTGAAGCGTGTAATCCATCAGGTAAATAAATACAGGAATTCACGTATTGCCATGGTAACAGGAAAACCAAGCAGAATCTGTGGCCTCCTCTGCTTTCTTGGCAGCCCTGCTTTGGAAGGAACAAGTATCTTCTGTAAGTGAAGACCAAAATTACAGATGCATCAGTTCTAGAGCAAAGAACAACCAAAGGCCGGATGCTGTCCTTCCTCCTTGGGTCAAAGGGGTTCTGTTTTCAGAAAGTATTTGGAAGTCTGGCTGGAGCCCGAAAAACAGGGACTCTAGAACTGCTAAAACTGAAACACAGCGCCTTGTTCTGCACTACCAGATGGATCCCCTTCACTCCAAAGCCGTGCTATGAATCACTGCACAGTGGCCCTTCTGTTGAGCGCAGAGCAGAACTGAGAGGCTCCTGAGGCAGCCCCGTCCTCCCCTCCCTGGTGGACAGGAGCTATTATGTATCATCATTTATTTTAGTATTTTATTAAGTGTTGACAACGTGTTTCATTTAAAAACCCAGGGAGGTACATAAGATCTCTAGGGATCTAACTCTAATAATATTGTTGTAGCCCCACAGCCTGGCTAGATGACTGCTTTCTCATTCTGTATGAATATGCAGATAGTCAAACCAAAGCTCCAAACCATTCCAAAGCCATTCAAGAAGACACATTATCAGGCAACAGCCTCTTTTATTTACAGCACAGTGGGTCCTGCTTGTCTTTCGGTTCCCATAAGAAAAAAACCACACACAAACATAAACAAGCAGATCTCAGATCTCACAGCATTTGTTCCATGACTCCGCATCCTTTGTTCTACCACTGTATACATTTGGACAAATATTATCCCAGAATTACTGCAGTATTACAGGCTGTGTTTATACATTGACCCTGTTCACCAAACTCTTTGTGTCAGTCATAAGTTCCAACACTCAAACTGTGACCTAGAGCACTCCGTACCAAAGCAGCTGCCTTCCAGCCCTCCCTCCCTCATTTCCCCATCTCTTCTCCTCCAGCTTATACTTAGACTACATTTTTTTCCCCTCTCTTAATAACACCCTGCTTAAAGAAATGCAAACACAAGCAGTTGAAAGAGCACAGTTCCCCAAATTTACACTTTCTCTTATTCAGCAAATCACCACCACGCTCCGCACCCACTGCAGCACGCCTCCGCGTTAAGACTTCACCCACGGCATCTTCAAATCTGTACACTGACCTGGGCACGGATCCTGCATGATGTCTTGAGTTTCTTCACTGGGAGTTGAGTGTGTTGCAAGGCCGGGTCTCCTACGCTGCGCAGCGTTTGGGTTTTGTGTGGTATTTTTGGCCTTTCTGTTCTATTGTACACGGAACCGCACCGCGTTTGTGTGTGTCTACAGAGTCATCTTCCAGCGTTTGAACTCTTCACGCTGCTTCGCTGGGGTGGAGCTCTATTTACTATTCTCACAGGGTTATTTACTGCACGCGAATAAACAAAACGTAATCACTTATTTTTCACATCTGCAATTACTGGCTATAGAACTGTCAGCATTTACTAAAGCCCCTTCTAATGGAAAGTTCACTTCTAATGGAAAGAAGTGGCCACTGGTTCAAAGCTGGCCCCAGCTCTATGGGTGCTGCTCACCCCTTCCTTACATTGTTAACCCGCTTCCAGGAGGAAAAGTGGCAGTGATGCACCAATAAGCATGGAAAAGAAAGAGCCAGAACCCCCCAAGCAAAGCGTTACACTGCGATGCTATGTAAGGGATGGTGCATCAGATTAACCTCTGATATTTCTGGAACAGCATCTGTCCCATGATGCGAGGCACACTTGTTAGACAGTGACTGAGTGCTGAGAGCTGGAAGCACGCCTGTGTGCCGCACCGCCTGGAGCTGCTCCTCCCTGGAGGCTGCTCCAGAACCGCAGCACAAGGGGCTGCCTTCTTGTACAGCACAGCACAAACCAGGATTGAGTGATCAAAGCCATGGAGGGCTGCTCCGGGCCCTGCTCCTCGGAAGCAGGGATCTTCCTAAAGCACTGCCTTGGGAAGCCCCAAGTGCTGCACTTCACACGTCTGACTCACACTGCTGCAAGGCCCTGCTAGGAAAGCATCGAGCTGCTCCTTACAATAAGAGACCACCAAAAAGCATTGTTTTTTCCTCTACTAATTAAATGCGACGTAATTAAACCAAATAACTTCAGCGCCTGATTTGCTAAGCGGTAATTGAGGCTTTCACTGTACTGCAATGGGAGGAATGGGGGCACCTCCAGTGACAGCTGAGAAGCACTGCACGGTGTGTGCTGGGTGCTTCCCCAGCTCATGGAGAGCCCCAAAAGGGGCAGCTGCAGCCGAACCCTTCCCTGTGCTGTCTGCCCACAGATAAGCCTGTTCCGATCGTGCACAAACACCGGGGAAGTTGGAGAAGTTGCCATTAATCACTGCGTGCAGGGCCCGAAGCGCTGCAGCTCTGCTGTGATGCTCTGCTATAGACCGAAAGGACGGTGCGAAAATGGGGGGAGGGGGGCGAGGGGAGAAGGAAACAAAACAACGGCAAATAAAAGGAGAAAGGAAAGGAAGAAAAACGAAATAAAAAGGAGAAACGGACCAGAGGACACAAAGCCTGAGGAGATAAAAGAAAAAGAAAAAAGGAGAAAAAAAGAAATCCAACAGGAAAATCCACCAGGAAACCAGCGAGGGAGCGCGGCACTGCTGCGGGGCTCGGCTCGGCTCGGCAGCCCTCCCCGCCGCCCGGCCTGACAGCAGCCCCAACCGGCCCAGAAGCCGCCCGGCCCGCCGCCATCCCCCGCCCCAGGGCCGCGCCGGGCCCGCGCCAAGCAGCAGCGGCAGCGGCTGCAGCTCCGGGCCGCAACACGGAGGGCGGGGAGGAGAAGCGCCGCCGCCCCGCCGGGCCTCCCGCCGCTCACCTGCTTTCTCGATCTTGCCGGACATGTCGGAGCCGGGGCTCGGCGCTCAGGCCCGGCCGCGCCAGGAGCCAGCGAGCGGCCGCGGCCCCGCCACTGCCGCCTCCTCCCGCTGCCGCCGGCCGGCCGCGATCCGGGAAAGGCGCCGCGGCGGCCCCTGGGGCTCGGCGGCAGGCAGGCAGGCAGGCAGCGCTCCCGCCCCCC